TTCAGTCTACTCTGTCACAAGAACAAAGTAGTACTACCATCCTCAAACCTCAGCCATAAAAGTATTTAAAGGTCCGGCTTAGCCAACAACAATTCTCATTCATAAAGTACCAGACCATTTTACCACTTTGAACTTGTAAAAGTCCAAAAGGATAACCCAAGACACCAGTTAAGTTTGAAATTATTAAACTATCAACTTATAACAATTCTAGTAAGTACACCGTAGAAATTGGATGTTAAAAATTATGTGGGATTGTGAAATAAATACAAAATCTTCAAATCACAAGATAAAATGTTTATTAGTGAAAATAACCATTCTTTTCTCTTTCTTTATAACTGTTCTGAACTCTGATTTCTTTTAAAATCTGCATAAACTAAGGTCTGTTTGCACTTACCTAGCTGAACTGGTGAGATACAGGCAAGTCCTCTTAAAATTTGTGTGTCTACGTATTCATTCAACATGTCAAGGTCCTCAACCTAATATTGAGCATTAGTTACATGAAAACAACATTCAGTTCACCACCTGTAGTAGTTGGGTAACAAACTAAAGAAGTATCTTACATGTTACCTCAATTAAAAGGTCAACAGCTTCAGGCTCAGAGTTGTACTTCAGCAATTAAAAATTAGTCAACTCAAAAGTTATCAAAACTTAACACCCTTCATCTAACACAACAATTTCTGTATAGTTGAGCACAGTGTATTTTGTATTTCTTACATTCATATGAAAAGCAACTATTTGTCGAACGAGTTCTATTAATTCATCCATTAGGGCCCTGTCGCTCTGTAGAAGCACCCAAAAAATTCAATTGTAAAACTGATCAGTAATGAAAAAAAGGAAATGAATGTTGAGAAGGCCAACTTGTCTTTGCATGTACTCCTGTGCAATTTCCCCGGCCAAATTTCTAACAATGAGATAAAACATAAATAAGATGGCTGAAATAATTAACATCTTTTCTGCCATGTCCAATCACCAAAATTCTAATTACCCCAGTCGTGCACTCACCGAACATACTCATGGCCCCATGAGCCTATATCCCCCTCTGAACCAAATAATCTGTATTTCAGGCTTTCCTAAGAAAGCCATAGGCAAAAATCAATTTACCAAAAACTCGACAAATGAAAATACTTTGGAAAGAATTTAAAGGAAAATAAATATCATCTGACTCAACTGGATGGAGTATGGTAGGTGTTGCGAAGAGAATAATAATGTGAATGTAATGAGAAAAGATGTAATAAGTAATAATGTGAATGTGATTAGAAAAGATAAGTTAGATAGGAGTAAACACAATGCAAGTATATGGAAAATATGAGAAAACCAGAAATTGGCTTTGAAAGAAGGTGCACCACCAAGTTTTAATCAAGAAAATCCCCTAAAACAGCAAACTCACTCGTTCTCCTTCAGCAGACATGGTGAGGGCCAAAACTGACAAAATGTCTGCTAAGTATTTCTGTAATGAAAGAAACACAAATTAAACAACCCCTGTGATATTATTACTTCACACAAAGGAAACACCCAATCACACTAACGACAATACCTTCAAATCTGATTCAGCCATTGTTTCATAAAATGCCTTAAGAGTGGCATAATGAGGGCGAAGAAATTTTATCGGCATGGGAACTGAAGTCATGGAGCTCGTTGAAGTTCTAATTTCTAGCCTACATTACAAATCATACATTTCAGTTTCAATACACAATTTTAAAAAAAAATAACAAATCTATATATATATATATATATATATATATATATATATATATATATATAATATATATATATATATATATATATATATATATATATATATATATATATATATATATATATATATATATATATATATTCAAATTCTGAAAAATTCCAACTCAAATCAAATTTTGTTCCTTCATTACTAAATGTGAACCATCAACTAAAAAACTAGGTTTACCTCATGCCTTCAAGAGCATCCTTCTGCAACTCAGGGTCGGAATCTTGAATTCTTTCAACATACAACTCAAGTTGCTGCTTCAACGCCAAATCCTCGTCTGACTGCATATGTTTACACAAAAAATAATCGATTAATTTTCTCCAAAAACTGAACCGTTCAATGAGTAAAAGAACAAACTACAATACAAAATGCATGCGTTTCGACGTACCATATCTTCGCTTTTGACTTTCTTCTTTGCTATGGTGTCGCTTTTGGCGGTGCCACTAGCATTGGCGCCAGAGCCGGTGCCGGATCTATTAGGATCAGGTTCCATCGGAGAAGAAAGAAATAGGTAACCCTAGAGAGATGACGAGAATCCAAGAATGAAAAGACTTTCTTTCCTTAGTTTGGAAGAGTAGAGAAACTGTTGTAGCCCGCGCTTTACTTCTTCTTCTTAAAGACGAAAAATAGAACTATTTAAAAAAATAAAAAAATCCCTCGCAATTATGTTTTTTTATCCTAAAAATTTCCTCAGAGAATATATATATATATATATATATATATATATATATATATATATATATATATATATATATATATATATATATATATATATATATATTTAAATTTGTTAAATAGTTTTATACCAAAAATGTGTGTCATAATGTTGAAAATAAGAAGGAGATTACATCGTTAAATTATCACTCGATGTTAATTTGACCTTCTTAGAAGTAATTTTTATTTTTACCAACTTCGACGGTGGTTTCAAATATGTGATTTCTAAATAGAAAATGGTTGTTCTTTGATGTGAAGTTTTATATTGTCATCGGCTTCGAAAAATCTCTCTTGAATTACTTCAAATTCGGTCAAGATAGTTATATTTGATTTTTCATCCTTCATCATACCATGATCATCAAAGTGGAGTCTTTTCCAAAGTGGAGTCTTTTCCAGTAGGTGTAAACTTCATTCATTCGTATTGGGATATTAAGTTTCACCTAATTTTAAATTAAACACGCATATGGAATATCGTATGTCCTTCTAATTGTACAACCACACTTTGAGTTATACGAACATATTTTCTCAAATCATTTGAATTGTGAAAAAGAAAATTCAATTCCGCTCGAGATAATTTCCTACGAATTGTGAATATAGGTTGTTATTTCTTAATATGTGTTCCAACACTATAACACTGCGACTAAATGATGCATGTATCTCATTATACTGATTTTAAATCATTTGGTTCACATAGTCTCAATCTATATACAAATCATCTTTATTAATTTCCAACAAATTATTCCATGTAGCATGTGCAGATTCAACTTGGTAAGTTATTGCATTTTCAAATTGTCTAACTTTATGGGTCCAAACACAAATAATCTTCTCATTCACATGATCTAGAATTGTACTTTCAGCATTCAAAAAATCCAGATATTTATCGCCCAACTTTCTGGAAAGTATAATGTTCTGGCCTGGGCCCCGGCTTGACCCAGCAGGCCCAGCCCAATAATATCCTGCCAAGTCCAGTCCAGCTTGGGCCGCAGCTTCCGAGCACAAGGTCCCCAGCGGATAGGTAACGCCCCTCCGGGGGCAGAACCTGTCTCATCTGTGTCGAGCACAAGACACTCCCGTCGACCAGACACTGCCCCGTCGGGCAGAACCTGCTCCCTGTCGGGTAGGACAACGTGTCCTTCACATGTTCTCCACGTGCCCCCCTCCGCGGGGACACGTCACCGACCAACTGCCCATCTCCGAAAGAGCAGGTCAAACCCACTTTTCGGAGATCACGGGACAGTTGGACTAGGGCGAAGACCACGTCCTGGTCTTCACTATGCCACGTAAGCCCTAGCAGTCACCTGGGTTGGGCCTGGCAATCCAGCCCAACACAAGTGACTGTTGCCCCAGCGTTGGGGTCTCTCTATAAATACCATCTTCCACAAGAGGGTCAGGTAATTCACTTCTTACCCATTTTCTGTATTTGCTCTCGCTCTGTCCAATTCCTTACTTTGGCATCAGAGTGTCTTGCAGGTACACCCCCTCCTCCTCTTCAACACCGGCGAGCAAGCAGCAAGTCGAAGACACGTGGCAGCCAGCGATCCCTTTTTGATCAGGTCAGATCAGTGGCGTCGTCTGTGGGAACCTAAAACTTCCTCGTTCCTCCGAGCAGAGAACCAAAGTTTTCACCAATATTCCGTGATCATTGCTAGCCCACACCACGACGATGTCGTCCACGACTTCATCCTCGCCCCTACCGCGAACGGCGGCAAGCAAACGGAGACGTCCCAACCTCCGGAGACCGACGAGAGGGACGGCCAGACCGCATCTCCTTCATCCGCGGAAGCTGCACACCAGACTGTCCTCCGACCGAGGAGCCCAGCAGCATTCCATCTCATCCCTGTTCCGGTCGGAGCGGACCCAACAGTAGTCGCCCTATTCGCGGCCATCAACCAGACGGATCATCTGTTATTCCAACTGAACGCACGAATTGGCGCACTAGAGCACGAGGTCCCGCCAAGGTCCCCTCCACGGGAAGACCAGAATGGGAACTCGAGGAGTCCCTCACCTCGTCCCAGGGGTCGACGACCTTGGCTGGAGAGGCCCTAACCCAAAGTCGTGCAGGAGCGGACTAGGTCCCCAACGAGACAAGTCCGTGAGAGGCGGCCTACAAGAGGGGATCCCCCGCCCAGACCTCCGAGGGTCGAACCTCCGGTCAGAAGGCCGAGGGCGCGAAACCAGGCACCTCCGCCGAATGGGCCATCACCCCCTCGGTCAGCAACTCTCAATGACGAGGACGACTAAAGGACCCCCTTGTCCTGAGAGATCATGGTTGCCCCCATTCCCCACGGGATGGAGAAACCCCCGACACTCTCAACGTACGACGGCACCTCCGACCCAGACGACCACCTAGAAGACATCGAGGCCATGCTCGACTACCGAAATGTCCGAGGAGCTATCAAATGCAGACTATTCCCGACAACGCTAAGGAAAGGTGCCATGACGTGGTACAAAAGCCTGGAGCCAGAATTGGTGACGTCGTGGAGGGTCTTTAAAGACCTCTTTTCAAGACATTTCACAGCATCCCGGCGCCATCCGAAGACGGAAGCCGCGTTGGGTGCCATAATCCAAGCTCCCGACGAACCCCTCCGGAAGTACATCGAAAGATTCACACGGGAGGCAGTACAGGTAACAACGTCAGACGAGATGAAGCGTTACTTGATGGAGCAAGGCCTGCGTCGAGACTTCAAGTTCTACGAAGTTGTGGCCATACACCGAGCAGCCTCTCTACAAGACTTTTTCGACAGAGTCGCGCATTACATCCGATTCAAGGAGACTCAAGCGACCAACTCCGCTCGGGACACACGAGACCGAGAGACCCCCTGCGGGCCCAGAGAGGACGGAGCCTCAAGCCACCGGCGCGAAAGAGATCGCCGACGGGAGGATCGTCCCCACGAACAACACAAGCCTCTCGGCCCGGCCAGCCGGTTCATAGAGTATACAGCCCTAGTCGCTTCCCGCGAGCGCATACTGGCCGAATGCGCCAAAACGGAGTTTATCCAAGGAGGTGTCCGCTTCCCCATGCCGACACCCCCCAAGCCCAACGTGGACAAATTGAAGTTTTGCCGCTTCCACATAAGCCACGGGCACGTTACAGAAGACTGCATCCACCTTAAGGACGCGATCGAAATCCTAATCAAGGATGGCCACCTGAAGAGATACACTCGGGGAGGAGAAACCCTGAGACAAGAGGCCCCCGAGGCCAAGAGAGTCGAAGACCTCCCCTCTTCGGACGATGACAACGCTCTACAGGTTGCCCTCTGCATCAGTCGATGGGAATATTTTCCGAGGGCCATGGTCATCTCGGGCGGATCCCCGAGGAACCTATCCGTAGGATCGGTAAAGAGAAAGTTCGAGGAACTCATCACCAGCAACTCCGGCAAAATGAGCACCCTCGACAAATTTCGTGGTCGATCCAACCCGATCACCTTCTACCTCGAGGAGCTTCTCGGGGGATCCCTCAATTTAAATATCCCCTACTGATACGGGCACATATGGCAAACTTCGACGTCAGACGCATCCTGGTCGACGGCGGAAGCTCGGTGGACATCATGTACACTCATTTTTGTACGACCCTCCAACTCGACGAATTCAACCTGTCCCCCCTACGTGGGCTCTGACCTCCAAGGATTCAACAGGACAACGACGAGACCGTGGGTACGTGGAGTTAAAAGTCACCTTTGGGAAAAGGAAACGGCCAGGGAGGTCAATATTCGTTTCTTGGTCATCGAATGTCCATCCCTCTACAACTGTATCCTGGGCAGGACGACGATGGCAGAACTCACCGCGGTGCCCTCCATCGTTCACCTAAAGATGAAATACTACACAAGGCGGGGGGTCGTGGTCACCCTAAATGGCGACATCGAGGCTGCTCGGAGATGCTTCGAGGCTGCGCTGAAAGGCCTAAGTACCATCGACCCGACAACTAAAAAAGTAGCCCCCACCGTGACGCCGAAAAGCGAGCCCAAGGAGCTCGTCGGCTCAGTAGACCTCGACAGCCGCTTCACTGGAGAGCCCGACCTCGAAGACAACGCCAACGACACTCTTCCGTCCAACGGGCAGCCTACCCACCTAGCGTGCCCCATCCCAAACGGTGACTTCGAGATTGTGACCCTCGGGGACGACGAGACTAGAACCGTGAAGAACGGAGCAGGACTCCCCGACCTGGCGAGGAGACAATTAAAGGCCTGCCTCCGTGAGAACGTTGATCTCTTCGCTTGAAGCATCGCGGAAATGCCCGGACTCGACTCCGAGGTCGCCTGCCATCAGCTGTCCATCAATCCGACTGCCAAGTTCGTAGTACAACATAGGCGTAGACAGTCCCCCAAAAAGTCGGCGGCGGCTGAAAAAGCTGTAAAAGACCTCCTAGAGGCAAATTTTATTTCGGAAGCCCGATATTCAGCCTGGTTGTCTAATGTTGTACTCGTCAAAAAGAATAATGGAAAATAGCGCATGCGTGTTGACTACAACAATCTCAATCGGGCATGTCCTAAGGACGCCTACCCCCTCCTCAATATCGACAAGCTCGTCGACAACTCGGCGGGCTTCAAACTCTTGTCCTTTATGGACGCGTACTCGAGATACAACCAGATCCCTATGGACGAACGCGACAAACAAAACACGACCTTCATGACAGAGTCGGGCAACTATTACTATAATGTAATGCCATTCGGCCTAAAGAGCATTGGCGCCACATACCAACGGATGATGAACAAAGTCTTTCGGGGAGAGATTGGCGACATGCTCGAGCTGTATATGAATGACATGATTGTCAAATCCTAC